ATAAGTGCGTAATTGTTAGATATTTCAATTTGCGTTATAGACACGCAAACAAATTTTAAATAAAAGTTATATGAACTTGAAAAAGGAATACTTTAAAAATATTTTTGAATATACAGGATGATACGTGTTTGCCTAACAAATAAAATGTATATTTTTTAAATAGAACACCCTGTATTTTATTTCAGTTTTAGAATGATCTGGTAATGCCTTATTTGAATCTACAATAATTTTGAAAAATATCACAGGGTTGCCAAGCAATTTATTTTTTCGCTGTTGCTAGGTACACGCAGAAGTGTACACAAATTATATACACGCGAAACGTCATATTGCTGTGGTGGGAGGTGTTTGTGTGAATACGTCTTGTTTGTTTTCATTTACGCCGTGACCTAGCAGTAGTATTTTATAAACCTTAGAAGCAAATTTCACATACATGAACAAATAATAATAATAATAATAATAATAATAATAATAATAATAATAATAATAATAATAATAATAATGCCGTGACAACAAGAAAACGAAGCAATGACTTCTCGTAGGGTGGCGGCTTCGCCGCCACCAAAAAATTTCAATCCATACCTAGCTACGCTGACCGACATAAACACCAACGGCCTAGACACAGCTCACCTACTCTGTCAAGACGTTTCGCGTGTATATAACTTATTAAATTGCGTACAAGTTAGCGTGTACCTAGACACTGTGTTATTTTTTTTTTTTTTTAATTAGAGAATGATGCAGACCGCAAATAAAATTATCATAATTTAGGTAGATTAGCAATGATATTAAAATTGTTTAATATACAGACTTATAAGATACCAAGATAACGAATAGTAATGATAGAACTAGTTCGTTTTATACAGAGCGTTTTGAAACATGTCATAAATATAGCTCATTTAAAGTACAATATATTCATTTTTTTTTTAAATGAAACACCCTATATATATATATATATATATATATTATTTCAGCATTAAATGTGTTATGAATTTACCTATCCAACGATTATACAAATACAGAGTGTCCCATCAATGCGTAATTGATCGATATCTTTTTTTATTATTAAAGATACCATGAAATGTTTAATACAAAAATTGTACAACCATATTTTACAATTATTCTTAAATATCCATGAATAAAGGGTGGATTAAACTTATAACCTGCAGGTAGTTACGTTACATATAACAAATTTGATCGTAAAACAATTTTAGTAGACTTAACGTTATGCATTTTCATTGATATGCTATATTATATATAGTATATAGGGTGTGTCAAAATGCGAGGTTAAGATTTTCTCAATTTTTTAAAATGGAATGCCCTATATGGTATATCATCAATTACTTAATTTCTTTACTTCTATTTTATTTGGCATTTCTTATAACAAATCGAATTTTAATTTTTTTTTATTTGATTTTTTTTTCTAAAAGCAACTATGTCACATTTGTATGCTCTTAAAGTAATCTAAAACCTTCAGGAAAAAATTCGCTATTTAAAAAAAAAAACTGTTGACAAACCCATCATAGCACCTTGGTTTTAAGTTTTTTTTTTCCAAAAACAACTGTTCCATATTTTTTAGCAATATTTAACCTCTTGAAATATTATAAAAACATTTCGAAAAATTTTTGCCATTTTTAAAAGTTTTTTTTTTGTTTTTCTTCTAAAAACAACCACCCACATTTTCAGGCTCTTGGAAAATTATAAAATATAAAAAATGCAATTTAAAAAACGAGATGGTCTGCTAGTTTCGTTCCAAGTTGGAAGAAAAATTGAAATTGTTTCAGAATGTTTTAATATTTTAAGATCCTAAAAAATGCCAACAAATGTGGCAAAATAAAAATTTTAAAAAAATCGAGGTGCTCTGCTGGCTTCTTTTGAAGTTAGCAAAGTATCCCACTTTTTTAAAAATAGCTAAATTTTTCGAAATATTTTATATTTATTACTAAAGACCTAAGAATAGTCTAAAAATGGGACATAATTATTTTTAGTAAAAACAAAAAAAACTTAAAATCAATGTACTCTAATGCTTCGTTCGATGTTACTAAAAAAAAAAAGAGCCTAAGAAAAACCTTAAAAAACAAGGTGCTCTGATGGTTCGTTCGAGCACCCACAATTTTTAAAAATAACAATTTTTTTGAAAACTTTACAATATATCAAGAGCCAAAAAATTGCCTAAAAATGTAGTATATTTGTTTTTAACAAAAAAAAAAAATTAAGAAACCGAGGTGCTCTGCTGACATTGTTCTAGCAAAGCATGCTGTATTATTTACAAATATCAATTTTTTTAGAAAAGTTTTATAATATTTCAAGAGATTAAAAATAGCCTAAAAATGTGTAGTTGTTTTTATGAAAAATCTTTACAAAACTGAGGCTTCATTCGAAGCTAGCAGAGCAACTTCATTTTCGCAAAAAAAAGAGTAGTATAAAATTTTTGAATAGGGAATAAAAATAGCCTAAAGCTATGGCATAAATTAACTAAAAATTTTCTAGATGCTCTGCTGTCTGCTTTGACATTTTTAAATAAATTTTCATGGTAATTTTAAATGTCAGGTAATCTCAAATGCATTCCCTAACTCTAAGAATTGAAGATCATATTAAAAAACTTATAAATTACAAATTAAAGTACCTGTTAAAAACGATTTTGAAGGGCATTTGTGAGCCCGTAAGTCCATAGGATTTAGAAAAAATTATAGAAATTTTTCATGTTATTTTTATGTTTTATCTGATTTTGGGAGATTGACCACATATTCTGGGACACTTTGTATGTTATACAAATATGTCTATGTTTAACTAATACTTAGAGGGATAGGTTGGCATAGTGGTTAGAGTCATGACTTTGAGATCGAAGTGTCTCAGGTTCAAATTTAATTTAATAAATTAAATATTAATTCTAATGCATAGATATAATACCCCACTCAACCATTCACTGTTGGGTTCTAATTAACAGTGCTGTTCCTAAAGTAGCATTGGGAAACAGTAACAACGCCTATACCAAACAGAAGACTAATAGACATAGCAGTTGATGCCAATGAAACACACAAAAAAACTAATACTTAGTCTACTGGTACTTTAAATTTCATAGTAAGTTTTAGATATATTATTTAGTATAAATACCTAATTTAATAATCTAACCTTTCAGTGTTCTATATTATGATTATGCAGAACAGTGTCCAGTGCTCTTCTGCTTATTAAAAAAGAAAAAATGTAACAATTTTTTATCGAAATTTGAATCCAATGAATTATAGATGATATGATTAACAAAAATGGATAATCAACTTGAGGTTTGTTCCAACAGAAACCAAATCAGTTTACATACTGTAGGGATTCTGCACAGTTTATAATTTGAATTCCAATAAACTTGAGACTTAAAACTATACAAAAACATAGTTTTCCACTTCCAACACAACCAAAACTAATCACAAATCGATCTGTGTACTGTCAAATTAATTCCTGAGTCTGAATAGGAACAAATTGTCAAGACAGGCACAAAATCGGAATAACCTGTATTTCTGACAGCTCTGATTTGTATTTATCAATCAAGTTTAGTCCTTATAGTTTTTGTTCATTATGATTTATTTGGTTTATTATTGTAAAAGTCGTTCTGTTGAATTTATTAAAAATGTTTTCCAACATAATTGAGTTCCAATGTAAATCCCAATCCCCAACTGTTTGTCGATTACTCTAGTTGTTGACAGATTGTCAACAATAAGTCATGAACTGGTTTATGAATGGTTCCAAGATAATTGTTGGGACAAACTTTTCATATCATCATTCAACATTATGTTTCACATACACTCTTTAAAAGTATCATACTCATATTATCATTCACAGTCTTTGTTTAAATTACAATAATATATTATTACAACATATTCTCTTCTTGAAGATAAAGATGTCTACATGTTTACAAAAATATAAAAAGCTAATGATAAGTGGACACAGGAAGAAGGACTATTTGACTGTATTTTCAGTTCAACAAAAAAACATTATTATTTATTTAACCTGACCAAAGTAAATAACAATAGCCATACAAACTACATTCAAGGGTTTTAAGGTTGATTACTTATAGGGGGGGTTATATTACTATCTTAAGAAAGACATAATTCATGATGGTTTAATTCGTTTATACTTTTAATTAAAAATTTAATTATTTTGTTTTTCTTCTTTTATTATTTATTTATCTATAACATTCCAGTAATGATAACTGTTAGATAATAAATTTAATTACTATTTTTAAAAATGACAATTATGTCTTCATATAGTACAAGTTTTTCTACACAGCTCAAGAACAAGAAAATAGCTTTGTTCCTGGTAACAATCCTGAACTAATTCTGTATACTAAGGCAAAAATTACACAACATTACTATAACTGGATTTGTATTGTTTAAATGTAGGCAGTAATATGTACCGTAGTGTTCAGAATACGTTCGGGATTGGCTCTGCAAAAATAGCTAATACATCAACATTATATTAACAAATCTTACAAATACAGGATATTGTAGATTTAGCAGTGATGTTAAGACATGTGCAAATGCATGATTCAATGTTTTAATATGTCTACAGCTTGAGGTTTGTTCCAACACAGGTGTACAGGACATGATTTGTACTGTAAATATTAAGGTTTTCATGCAAGCTATCACAACTTTATAGCATTACTTGATTTGTATTAATTAAATAGATGTTTCTAATCATTGTCAAACACAGTCAATAATTCTTAAAAAAGAAATAGATACTATACATTATATATTTAACTTTTTAGTTAGTTTATTTCACCTAGTGCTTGAACTAACTCGACTATTATGAATATTTGCACTTATGAAAAAGGTCAGAGATAAACAACTGTCATTATTATCTTAATGAATAAATAGTAAGCGAAAATACAGCAATGTTTTAAACTGTTAGCATATTTCTATGTAGATAAATATATCACATTTTATAAAGATAATCTTTAAAACAAGGATCATAACATAACCTATTAAAATCAACGCGACTAATTATTACTCACTTACCTCTGTCGAATTTTTTGCCTTCTGGATCCATATCTTTCACGTTAAAAATATCTTCAAAAAGAACACCCGCCATAGTACTTTGTTTTAATTAAAAAGCTCACAAAAACCGAACGAAATTTTCTTATTTAAAAAAGTTCAAAAATTTTGAATGTCTGTAAAATTGACATATGACAGATGACAACATTCTGACATTCTTCGTTTTTCTTCTTTTTTAAATGAATAGGACTTGAAACATTATAACCAACAACAAAACATTGTTTTGGGATGTTTTTATATAAGGAAGTCAATTTATTCCAAATAGTAGATATGGTAAGGACTACAGGAGGGTTGAGAACTATTTTGCTTTATTCTTATTCTTGTCTTATAGTTTTTTTTTACATTTACATTTTCTATATAGTTTATTTTATTTCCTAGCACTACGACCTGTGGCGGATACTGAAATAACCGACCTATGGTTTAGAAAAATTATAACTTTATTAGTATTTTTTGTTAGTAAAACTTTTGCACTTCCTTTTTAAAAATGAACCATTATTTTTTTAATTGCTTACAAATGAAAGAAAAGCATAAAACAAACAAACTTGGCGGGTAACATTTAATACTCTGGAGTACAATATATAAATACCAAGTTGTATAATAACCAAAAAAAAATGAAAAATAAAAGAAAATATATAAATTAAATATGATTGATGTTTATTTACCTGGAAAACGTAGTATCTGGTTCTTTCTTGTTCATACGACTTTAACACTGATATGCAACACATTTTTATGGAATCTAGTAAATTTTTTAGACAAATCTGGTAGGTACATAACAAAAACATATTCTGGCATCACTGAGCATGAATATAAACATGTATATAAAATACATATCTTGGTTTCTATGCGGTAATGCCAATTAAAGTTGGAAAAGTTAATGGGATAATTAATAAATAAAAATCTACGATTCAATCATTCTAAAACTTACAATTTATTTCAATGCTTTTGAGTAAAATTCACTTATCAACTATATTATAATCTTAAAACGAGTAGGTACATATATAGATATTATATGTTTATGTATACATAGTTAAAAAAATAAACAAAAATCTAAAACATTCATTTAAAATAGAAAATATCTTCTTTGCTAGGGAAAAATAGAGGAAATAATACGTAAATAAAATAATATTATTTTTTTAAATAAATAATAGTGCATACAAGAGTAAAACTAATCGAAATCGATATTATAATAAAATGTAATAGTAAACAACAAGAGTAACTAGTTTCGACCTATGCAGCTATCATCAGGCATGTATAGAAATTTTAAGTATTAGAAAAAAGTAAATTGTTAAATTTTTGATTGTTTACTTGATGAAAATCCATATTACTAAAATGAGAAAAACCAAACATGGTAGATTTTCACAAACACTTTTATTTTAAAAATTAAAATTAAAAATTACACAATAGTTTCGAAGTACAAATTTTATTTTTTTAAATAAAAGTGTTTGTGAAAATCTACACTGTTCGATTTTCTCATTTTAATACATTGTTAAAGTTCACAAGAGTGTGAAATCAAATTACATAATTGTTAGTCATTTTTGACATCATTAAACCATCTTACAGATGGTTTTTGTAACATTTCACATTTTGTAAGTATTGTACAAACAATTTACTTAATTTTGTATTGCAGACCTGATGATAGCCAAATAAGTCGAAACTGGTTGCTCTCGTTGTTTTTTACTATTACATTTTATGATGGTATCGATTTAAAGTAGTTTTATTCTTATCGATTATAGAGAAAAATGGATTATCTTTCGTTCACATATTGTTAAAACATGCAAGACAAAATGTATAAAAGACGTATGATTTGTGAAAAGAAGAAAATAAGAACGCTGATCAACTTGTAGATATATTTGGGGTCACATATATTTATCAATTAAATGTTATTTAGATTTTTTTTTTGTAAAATGTTCAGCTGATTATAGGTGTCATAATATAAATAATTTCACTTTTTGTTTGTCTATTGTACGAAACAAGAGGAAGAGCGTGCGGGCGGTATTGGGCCACAGCTCGGTTCTTTGAAAGGAGCACGCACTTTTCTTATGCAAAAGGGAGCAACATCAAAATGTCTAACTTTGATGTCCCCGTCAAAAGTGTCCAGGGGCCCAATCCTCTTCTATGGCTAGATTTTGAGATATAAGTTGTTGAAGTTAGAAATCCCCAATTCTCACCAAAAATCACCCTTAAATATTTTTCGAAGTTATTCCCTTATTCTGTGTAGTCGAAATACCTATTTAAGTACTATAATCAAAATATTGTTACTGATGCAATTGAAAGAAATTATACCTCTTGATCATCACCTATTATTACTTTCCTGTCTGTATATAGGTAAGGAAAGTATAGAAATCATGATTTTTTCGACTTCAAGTTCTTCTAAATTCAAATTTTTGGGAAAAATGTTCATATAAAAGTTGTTTATTATGTCATTCCCCATAATTCTTGTTCTATACATAATTTTTCTAAAGAGAACAGTATTCGAGATATTTGCAAAAACGTGCAAGTTTAGAATGTTGAAAATAAAAACGGAATAAGAGAAAAATTTTAAATTTAAGCTTTAATCCATCCTGTGGTGAACTGATTAAATTTTGTGCATAGCCAAAACATCTGAAGGGTAGTTTATAGAAGGTTTTTCTACTTTATGGAATATATTTGTTATTTAAGATTGGAGAAGAAAATCCTTCAAATAAAAGTTGCTTGTAAGGTTATTCTCTATAATTTTGGTCCTTTACATATGTTAACTCTTTTCACTCCATATCTACTGAACTACAATGATTTAGTATAGAAGTTCGAAGAAACAATAAGAGAACTTAAGTCTGGAGGTGCTACCCTTGAGGAAATTGATGTTGTGTGACATCTTCTCCTAACATTGCTAAACTGTTATGATACAATCGTTACAGTATTAGAAACTATAGACAAAGTTAAAATTAGATTTTGTTAAAGCTAAATTGTTGGACCATGAAATTAAGAAAATCAGTGTACAAACAAACAACAATGATTCATATATGCCAGTAGCTTATGCAAGCAATTATAAAAAGAATTAGACTCAGAAAAGAGGTGCACAGGAATCTAACTGGAAAACCTTGTCGAATAATGGGAAAACAGTTATATGTCACAATTGCAGAAAACCAGGACATATGTAAAACCAATGTTTATTTAAAAAACAGGCTATTTAAACTAAGGAAATGGATAATGAAGAAAGTCAAAGTATAGCATTTATAGCTTCTGCAACTGCTTTTAACAATACTCATGAAATGGACACAGTTAAATGGTATATAGCGGACCATAAATGCTCCGGCATCGGCTGGCTCGTACAGCGACACTTTGAGGAGTATCCGACTGGCTGTCATCCAGATATAACCCTAGACCAAGCAAAAGGAGACTTGGTACAAGAAACTCTTGTGGAAAGGCTCTACGCTGCCCATTCAGGCAGTTGAGGAGCACCAGTTTCATAGAACATCGTTTAGCGCAGGGGTCATTTGGATGACCTGCGCTAACCAGCAGACCGCGGACTGGTTAAGGAGGACGGTCAGCACTCTGGGAAACCTCTGGGAGGGCGCGGATTTGACCGTGGTTGAATCTAAGGACCTCCCGAGAAGTCCCAGGGTTCTGGTTTTCATCCCGGACGAGTCCGAGGTTGAAAAAGTCAGAGGTCAGCTCCAGAATACGGAACTGAAGACGCCGGACTGGCTTTTAATGAGCAGGAAAATTAAAAAAGGGAGGGCAACTCCTAGCCTTTTCAATTGACGAAGCGTCGTACAGGGCCTTCGAGAGGTCACAATTCCGGGCCTATTACAAGCTAGGAAGGGTGACCTTCAGGATCCTAAGGTGGCCTGGCGAGGATCAGGATAATCCAGATCAACCTCCAGCACCGTAAGGCTGCTTCGGCTGTACTTACAGGCGATGGGGAGGTTTAGTACAAGAACCGTGGATTAGACACGGTAAAATAAGAGGTTTAGGAGGGTTGGGTGGAGAGTTAATATATGACAGATCCACAGACACCCCTCGAACCTGCATAATTGTCAAAAAAGGCATAAAAATACTGCCGTTAACTAATTTCTGTTCCAGAGATTTGACAGCAGTCAGAATCAAGATCGATGCAGGAAATGGACCAAAGGAGGTAATACTCGGATCGGCATATCTACCTTCAGACGATCCTGAAGCAACACCTACCAGAAAAGTGGAGGAGCTGGTGAGATTCTGCAGGCGCAATGGAATGCTGATGATCATTGGCTGTGATGCAAACGCACACCACAGGATATGGGGGAGCACCGATACCAACGAAAGAGAAGAGTCTTTACTACAATTTATTATGGCAAATAATTTAGACATAACAAATGTAGGCAATAAACCGACCTTTATAGCAAAAAACAGAAAGGAGGTACTAGATGTAACAAGCATCAACATACTTGAGTAATTTTGTTACAGACTGGCTTGTGTCTGACGAAGAGTTTATCAGATCACAGACACATAAACTTCAATATTAAAGGTAATATTGCAAAAGAAACTTATCGGAATCCCAGGAAAACAGACTGGAAGGAAAATAGACTGCTTCCCTGGAATGTAATCTTCCGAAGATGAGAAAGACGATAAGAACAACAACCGACCTAGAAATGGTTGAGGATGAGTTTAATGACACAGTCACTAGCGCTTTCAACGATACCTGTCCCTTACTAGCAAGGAACCCCATCAGGAAAGTTCCATGGTGGAATGATGACCTTGTTATACTAAGGAAACAGGTGAGACAAAAATTTAATAAGGCTAAAATAATCGGCGAACGGGAACTATATAGAACCATACGCACCTGTTACAACATAGCCTTACAAAAAGTCAAGAGAGAGTCTTGGAGAAGGCACTGTGAGGAGATAGCAAGCACTCAAGAATGTGCCAGGCTCCAAAAAATTCTCTCAAAAGACACACAACACACAATAAACACCCTTAAGAACGAACTGGGGGAGTACACAATCACAGGGAAAGAAACAGTAAGGGAACTCTTCAGAGTTCACTTCCCTGGTGCACAAACCATAGCAGATATACCGGCTAACCGGAATCTAAACGGACTGGAAGCTCATAATAGAGCCAACAGGGAAGATTGGAGGGTAGCCAAACAAGTGGTGAACTATGATAAACTGAAATGGCAATTAGCTCATTCGAACCA